TAGCATTATTTTGAGCTCCTTTTCATGTTTGTTTAAGGGCCTCTCCCTGTTTGAGGCTTCCTTTTTACACTTGCTTCTTTACCTCTCTTGTATGCCTCTTTCTTGCATAGTATTTTGGGCCTATTTGTAAACTATTTTGAGCTTGGTTATAAACTATAAAGTGGCTTATTTTGATCCCTTCTTCAACATTTTTGAAGGAATCTTCACTGTTTGAGGCTTCCTTTTGTCACTTGCCTCTTTATCCCTCTTTTGGCCTTATTTTTGCATGTTTTGTTAGCCCCTTGTGCTTGTATTTTTGGGCTCTAGTCCGAACTGTAAATAGACTTATTTTGACACCTTCTTCATGTTTTATCAAGGGACTTTTTCTTTTTGAAGCTCCCTTTTTGCTCTTTGTGTTTAAACCTCTTTTTAGGCCTTATTTTGCATAGTATTTTAAGCTTGCATGTGCACTGTTTTGGGTTTGGTCACTAACTGTAAAATACCATTTTTTGGGCCCCTCTTCAACTTTGTTGAAGGTCCTTCCTCTTTTTGAGGCCAGAAACCATCACTTTCTTCTTTGTCTCCCTTTTGGCCCATTTCTTGCACAATAGTTTAGCCATACTTGTGTTTGTTTTTGTGGCTTGTTGTAAATTGTAAAGTGCTTCATTTTGAGCCCCTATTCAACTTTGTTGAAGGGCTCTTGGCCATTTAGGGCCAGAAGATGCTACTTGCTTCATTATCTCTCTTACGGGGCCATTTTTGCATGCTAACTTAGCCCTATTTGTGTTCACTTTTTGGCCTTGCTTAAAACTAGAAATATGCATGTTTTGGGACTTCCTTGCTTCTGTCTTCATACTTCATGATCAAATAATGCATGTTTTGTATAGCTATAGGCCAATGCATATGCCTAGTTTTGTGTTTCGGGTTCATTCCATGCATCGGGTGCCATGTTTCCATGTTTTGGGGCTGTTTTGCATCATATTTCAGCACTGAAATTTGCATGTTTTCATACCATGTGTCATGCCTTGCCATGCCTTGTTAGTGTTGCATGCTATGCCTTAGGTTCAGTCCTCGGTTTGTGTGCACGTGTGCACACATCTCGAGTGTCTCATTTTCATCCAATGGCTACTGGTTTGAGTGTGGCTGAGGTCCACTCATATTGGTGTAAGTTCATTGTGCATTGTGTATGCCATTTCATTTCATAGCATTGCGTATGCTAGGTTGTATGTTAGAGCATTGTGTATGCCATGTTACCTCGTGCATCGTGTATGCCATTTCATAGCATTGTGCATGCTAGGTTGTATATTAGTTGCATTCATGTATTTCATGCATATTGCATTGTGTTTGGGATAGGAGTTAGCCCGAGCACGGGAAACGAGGGACGTTTCGTACTTCGAGTGACGGAACGTGTCTCAATTCCCAGTCACCGACACTCCGGATTATCCATGATGGAGTTTAGGTTTTGTTGTGTTTATATGTGCATTCATTTCATATTGAGTAGTGCAATTCGACTCTTCGGCCATCATGCATCGATATGCGTAATTGGTGGCACGAGGACCGAGGACTACACTCCCTGAAGAGTAGTCATGCATACATATGTGAAAATACGTTGCCATGCCCCTTTGTTGCTCTCTGTTGCAGCAAATCAGAAATCGACAGCCTTTCGGAGCTTGGCACGCATTCTAAGAACAATTGCAAATAGAGGCAAACCGGGGCATTGCGAGGGATTCTCCGCACAAGGCAACCCGAGCATGCATCATTCATCATCCGGAGCAGATTTGAGGCAGTCCCTGGCTTGCATGCCAATTTATTGCTTTCCTAATTTAATTTGTTAATTAATTAGGGTTTTGTACATATTTGTACTGTAATTATTCATTTGGGACTGTATATTATTTATTCGGACCCTCTGCGCGAGGGCAATGTTGTAATAAGTGTGCGTGTGTGTGATGTATGTCTTCCAACCCCACGCCTTTCTCCCTTTTATTTACCCGCTTATGATGGTTAGATTAGGGCATGTTTCAATTAGCATACAGTATGATAGCATGCTTGCATTCATTCATCTGTTTTGCATGCACCGGGCTCAGCGCATCATACTAACTGCATTGTATTTTCAATTCCAAGTTAAATACATGTTAGCTGTAGCATTTCATATGCCATGTTTAGAATAGCTGAGCCTGCTATAGTTGCATTTTTGCATGTGTTGCATTTGGCATTTTCGTATAATTAGGATCATGCATGGATTTCTAATTAGTTTCTGTTTTGGGTTGGAGTACTCGGTAAGTTTTTATGCTTTAGCATCCTTGCATGTGTGTGAGTGACTGCCATGATAGCATGCTTACCATGAGGCTATTTGCTTGGCTTTTTTATGTGTTTTTATTTTTTTTTAGATTTTTGTAGAAGAGAGATAAGGATAACTATATTGGATTTCTATTCTTTTATTTGAATTGTGGGAAATAAAGATATTATGTGATTTTTTTTTATTATTTTACTTTTATTTTTTTATATAGGGAGAGGGAGTGAGAAGATTTGAAAAGTGAAAAGGGAGCTAGAGGGGGGTTCCATGTATTTTTTTTTTCTTTTTAAAATTATGAGAATTTAGGAATGAATTTTTGAAATTTTTTGAGATAACACTGCATTTGCTTATATATATAGTATAGATTGCGTTTGTGGTACTAAGTGCCCATTTGAGAACCAAGATTAAAAGCTACGTTTTTGCAGCTTGGGGGTAAAAGGCTAGATTGGCTTTTTTAACAATAAGTCATTTGGGAAGTCCAAAAAAGTTGCATGTGAAATTACCATTATACCCTTCATGTTGTCTAGGGTTGTACATGGGTGAAAATGTAAATTTACTAAATTGGGTAGGGATATTTTGGTCATTTGATTGTGATGTGACATTATAAACAAATATTAACCGAAAAAGTCAAAAGCAGTTTTTTACGAACTTCTCAAATCACTTTCTAAAAAAGCCAAATACTTGGTAAAAAACCAAAAGCCAGCTTTTTACCATCTTCCCAAAACACTCCTAAATTGGTAGTTTTCTATTTTAATGTTTAAAGATTTTTGCTTTAGTTGATTGGCAAGAGTATGTTATTTGAATTTGACCTTTTTTAATTTTTGTTAGGCCCACATTAGAGAGCTTGAAGAAGAAGTGAACCTTCTTGAGAATCTTTCACATCCAAACATTGTTGTAAGTATTTGATTTGCATTCTTCCTGAAGCAATGGTTGTTCATTTTTATTGTCTTGTCTGTCTATTTTTATATTTTTGGTCGGTTTTCTAACTTTACTCGTCTTTTCTTTTTCTTGAAGAGATACTTGGGAACAACTAGAGAGGACGCATCGTTGAATATTTTGTTGGAAATTGTCCCTGGTGGATCTATCTCTTCACTTCTGGGAAAATTTGGTTCATTTCTCGAGTCTGTAAGTTGATTACCACTTATTCAAATTATATATTTTTGTTTTTAAGTATTGAAGTTTATATCAAATAACACTCTGTCGAGAGGCAAGGCCTGCTTATTGACTTAAAAAAATTTCATTTTAGGATTTTTTTTAATCAACAAAATAAGAAAACTTTATTGATAAAATCAAAACATTACATATGAAGACCATCAATAAAGAAAAGACGAGAGCTCGATAGCATCATAGCACCTCAACCTGATCCCAACTAGGTTGACACCAAGAAGGATGCCCAATCTTGTGCTAGCTCAAGCCAAAATGTTGGTGAGGAACCAACAACAAACAGAAAAATCACCCCAAAACAAAGGAGTAACAAACAATCAAACCGACCCCACCTGTTAAAACTACCAAACAGCAGCCATCTATCCTACAGACAACAATCTCCACAGCCAAAAATTAGCCCAGAATTCTGATTCTGTTCCGTTGCCTTGAGCAAGATCTTACTTGCTGAAGGTTGAACGCCACATCATTAATAAAAAAATATATCCCATGTGTTATATTTCAACCATAAAGCAATTCTAACCTTCAGCAACTCCCCAAAATCCGTAAAATCTGGTTGAATTGCATTGAACACACATTCATTTTTGAGCTTCCACACAGACCACGTGATAGCAAAAGGAATAGAATGCCATATCCTCCTTTCAAACCTGCTACAGCTTGTACCTAACTACTATTCCAGAAGATCTCCAATAGACCCAGGAATTACCCAAGACAAGTTCCACCAATCCAATCATTTAGACCACATTCTCCATACCCAAGGGCAATGTAGCAGGAAGTGATTGACAGTTTCCTTATTCTCCCTGCAAAACAGACAATAATTGTTCACATTGGGATCCAAAACTGCAATTCTTTGAAGATAGAAAGCCGTTTTCACTCGACCTTTCCAGGCCAACCAACCAACCAAAAGATTTCACTCTTGGTGGTGCATTGTTACCCCACAGCAGTTTAGTAATCCTAAAAGATGGGCCTTGAGCAAACTCACACCATCTTCTGGCAGAGGAAACAAAAAAAGAGCCTGATGGTTCTGCATTCCACCAAGCTTGATCATCAATATTGATCCTTAGATTGGGAACATCCTCCAATACCTCAATAAGCCTTTTAACCTCCTCCTCTTCCCAGGCTCGTAAAGGTCTTTTGAATGAAAACTGCAACCCTCCAGCTGCACATCTCTGGTTTGAACAAAAGACTTCAAGGAGCCATCCTTACCCCCTAATAAGTTAAAAAGCCTAGGGAAGACATCCTCCAACTTTCCAATCACCAACCATTTGTCTCTCCAAAAGTGTGTCCTTTCACCATTACCAATCACAATTTTAAAATTTTCAACAAAAAATAAGTACAGATCAACATTTGACAGAATAGAAGATAATATATCTCGCCAAACTAAGGACATAGATCTAGTAATCACCACATTTGAAATTTCTCCTAGAACCTGTTTGCCAAGTAGGTTATGAGAATGTACATGAGATGAAAAGCTACACTCAGAACTTGAAAACCTTGCTTCTATACTATGTAATTTGCATGTTTTTTTTTTTGGTTGATATTCTCGCTGAATTTGTATGCTGAGCAGGTTATAAGAATGTACACAAAACAATTGTTGTTGGGAGTGGAATACCTTCACAGGAATGGAATAATGCACAGGGACATTAAGGTATCTTCACCTTCTTGCAAATGATTCTTAACAAGGATAAAACTTCTCTCTCTCTCTCTCTCTCTCTCTCTCTCTCTATGTATATATATATGTATGATAAAGGGCTTGCTTTTGTCAGGGAGCTAATATCCTTGTTGATAATAAGGGGTGCATAAAACTTGCAGACTTTGGTGCATCAAAGAAAGTTGTTGAGCTGGTGTGAACAATGTTTCCTCTATTTCATTTTTTATTTAATTTTTCTAGTTATTTATTTTGTTTTCTTTCCAAGGTAATATTATGTCAAATTATTTTATACCCGAGTTATGTATGTTGCTAGTACAGGCTACCATGACTGGTGCAAAGTCAATGAAGGGTACTCCATATTGGATGGCTCCAGAAGTTATCCTTCAAACCGGTCATAGCTTGTGAGTACAATCACTATGGGACTCAATATCGATTCTGGAGCTCTTCTAGCCATCAAGCAGGTTAATTTTTAATTTTTATTTTTTTGAAATCTGTTTGGTTTTGATTTTGTTACATTCTAATTTTTTAATATCTATGCAATGCAGGTTTCAATTGCAGGCAACAGTGCTGCAAAAGAGAAAACACAGGTTTTGTATTTCATAAATTAAAATTTTATTTGTTAGTTAAGTAGATTTCATGTCTTTATTTCTGCTCCTTCTTTTGTTTTAAATCAGATGTATGATGATGCTAGAGGGGTTTTATGCCCCAGAACCTTGACTACTTAATTCTATTAGTTCACTGTTTTACCAAGAAAAAAAAAGAAGGAAAAAAAAAGAAGAAGAAGTTATGAAAAATATATGAATTCAATGTATAAATGGTTTAATACAATGTGTTTGTTACTTTTATAATATTTATACAACTAGACAATTTTCTCCCATGATTATTTTATTTTATTTTATATTATATTATGAACCAACATGTATTTTCTCTGTACAATCACTCAAGAAACTCTGAAATTGTGTTTGGATAGAATTTGTAAAAATAAAAATAATAATAATAAAAAAAAGAATGGAAAAGTGAACGAAACAGGCTTTTATTTCATGCACAAATCTATTTAATTTTTTTATATATATAAATTCAAAATTCTATGATAATTGTTTTTGTACAAATCTAAAATTCAATAGTCAAACTGATTTTATTCGAATAGTTTCTTTGGCTCCAAGCAATTTGGGTGGATATAGAATACTCATTTGTGCATAATCAACATCAATGAGTATAATATGAATTCTAAAGAATCAAAATATTTTGATGGAGATATGAAGTTGTTTGGTAATTTTTAATTTTTAAAGGAATTTCTAACAAGATAGGATTGTAAAGTAGTTAATAGATATTTTTAAGCTAATAATTTTAATATTATTTTAAATTTTGGCCAAAAGTCATGATTAAATTGTAACAAATAATTCAATTAGATTTTTTGAATTACTTAAAAAAGCCCAAGTTTATTTCTAGTAATAGTATAAATCCGGTATTAGATCTATTTTTAGTGTGTAATGTGACTTCAAACCAATAGATGTATTTTTTAAATTATTCATGGCATATAGATAAAGGAGCAAATGAACTAAATAATAGATTTTTTAATTAATTACAAATTAAGAAAATTAACAAATTAATTTGAATTTTTGATGCTTCCAAAACTCATCGATTAAATTTTTAAAAAAATAAACAAAAATTTATTGATTTTAGGAGAGTCCAATGCATACATATAATTGAACAAAACTCACAACTTGTTTAACAACCAGCAAATAAATGTTTAAATTTAAAGATAAACACAAATAAAATATTATTTTTTTAATATTATTAAGTTTGTATTCAATTTTGCACATTAATTCAAGTCCTCCTAGTTTTTTCATCTCCTTCTTCTTCTTACCCTCAACTTTAGCTTCTTATGATGATGATTATAAAAAGATATTCATTACTCTCAGTCACAACAGTGCCATTACTTTTTTGTTTGTCCAAAATATTTGAAAAGGAAAAACACTATGAAAATGGAGAACTGATCAAACAAATCATCTATCCTCGGCAACGGGTACTTATTCTTAATGGTTACCTTATTTAGTTCTCGGTAATCAATACAAAGACGAAGCGTTCCATCCTTCTTCTTAACAAACAAGATAGGTGCTCCCCAAGGTGAAGCGCTCGGCCAAATAAAATCCTTATCTAGCAACTCTTGTAGTTGAAGTTTCAATTCCTTAAGCTCGGCGGAGGCCATCCTATAGGGTGTTTTAGAGATGGGCTGGGTCCCCGGCATGATGTCAACCATAAACTCTACCTCTCTATCAACTAGGTGACCAGGCAAATCATTTGGAAAGACGTCGGGGAATTCATTAACTACCGGGACGTCGGCTAACTCAACACTTCCATTCAAATTACTTATTATGCTACACAAATAAACTCGACACCCTTTTTGGATCAATCTATAGGCTTTCATGGATGAAATTAAGTAAGGTGGGGACACTACCCCTTTTCCTTGAAACGTGACCTCGGCTAGGTTCGGGGGTTTTAATGTGACACTCTTTGAAACACAATTTATGGATGCGCGATTCGTCACTAACCAATCCATTCCCAAAATAACATCAAAATGGATTATGTCCAATGGCATTAAGTCAGCTAACAGTTTAACATTCCCAATCACAACAACACATGCTTGATAGATGGATGCAACATTCATAGATCTCCCAGATGGAGTAGATACAGATAACACATAATCAAGGGGTTCTAGTTTCCTATTAATCTTCTCGGCAAACTTAGCAGAAATGAATGAATGCGTAGAACCCGAATCAATCAATACATATGCATTTTGAGAGCAAATTGGGAGTATACCTGACACCATTGCCTCAGCATTCTGAGTGTCCCCTGGTACCAGTGCAAAAACTCTGCCTTGCCTCATCAGTCCTTTCCCAACGTTGCCCTTCTGTACAGAACCCGAGGTATCCTCATCTCTCTTACCTTCATCAGCCCTTGTCTTTGGACAGTCCCTCACAAAATGACCCATTTCACCATATTCGTAACAAGCTCCAGACGCCCGACGGCAAACTCCGAAATGTGGCTTCCCACAACTGGAACATGTCGGCTTAGTACTACTTTCCTGTCTTGGGTTGCTAGGACTGCCAACATTCGCTTTCTTCTTGGTACCAAATTATGCTCAGCGATTGTTTTGATTCTGTCTCTTCCTCTGACTCTCTCCCGAACTCTGGTATCTGTTCAAGTTAGCTTCGGCCAGAATTGCTTTGTCCAATACTCCGGCATAATGTTAAGCATGTTAACTCGGTCTTGAATCGGTCCACGCAGCCCACTTTCAAACTTCCTAGCCTTCATGTATTCATCATTGACCATGTGGGGTGCGTACCTCGCCAACTCCGTAAAGGCGCGGTCATATTCAGCTACTGTTCTACTGCCTTGCGTCAAAGTTTGAAACTCGGTAGCCTTGCGATTTCGAACACTCAAGGGAAAATGCTTAGTGTAAAACAATTCCAAAAATTGGGTCCAGGTCAAGTCTGGGTTGCTTTCTCGAACCATCATCCACCACCTGCGGGCGTCGTCATCAAGTGTAAAAGTTGCCAATGTCACTTTCTGAGTGTCGGTGCTGGGAAAGATCTCGAACAGCTTCTCCATTTCCAAAACCCACGCTTCGGCTTTCATCGGTTCTATAGGCCCTTGGAATCTCGGTGGCTTCATTTTCTTGAACTCTCTTATCAAAGCTATTGTGCCGTCCCCATATAATGCTGGCTGTGTGGGCATTTGTGGTACTGGAGGAGGTGGAGGTGGAACTGCATTTCGGCCGTTTGTCTGCTCGGCCTGAGTCGATGTAGTACTAGCATACTGTTGTCTTGTCTGCCTTAACTCGCAGGCCAAACCTTCAACCAACCTTTCCAGTCTGTCCAATCTGTCATCGGACTGATCTCGGCCAACTGGTGGTCTACCTCTCCTCATGATGCTAGTTGTATGCAAGATACGACTTTAAAACCAAATGAACAAATAAATACATAGGCAAGTAACAATTAAGCATGCCGAGACGATTGACACCTTGTTCACATAGCAAGTAATATGATGCAATCCTTAACATTCTTCTAAGGGAAAATCCTATGCTCTTTAGGACTCAAGGTGTGTGGTTAATGCATAATAAGAAACTTGTGCTCTGATACCATTCTGTCATGACCCCAAACCGCCCTTAGTAGGATGGTGCAGTGATGGCCAGTAATCTGAGATTACCGAAGGCCAATTTTCAAAATTCACACACAATCAGAGTATTACATATAGGGCTAACAAGTGCGGAAGCAATATATACAAATCTAATTAGTCCATAAGAGTTGTGCATAAGTCAAATGAAATGGCATACATCTTTACATAGCTTTACAACTTGAATATAAGCAAAATAAAATACATGAAACAGAAGTCCAGAAACATAATCTTCCAGATTGCCGACATCCTTACTGCCGACATGACATACATACAAACAAACATCTTGATCAAAAGGCTTATCGAGCCGACGTGTGCAAAATACAAATATTACAAGTTGAGAAGCATGATTTTCAAGACTGCCGACATAATTACAAGTCAAGCCGGCATGACAAAAATCCAAAACAAGTTCGCGGGTCACATCTAGGCGTCAACGCCTTCTTGCTCATCACCTACATATCAATAGAGAGGGTGAGCTTGGATACTCAGTGAATGGTATAAATAATAAAGGATTCTGCATGAATAATAGTCGAAGTCCTTTCCAACAATACAAGTCAAAACTTTATATAACAAGGGATGGACCTTGTCCGTCTAACAAATCTTCAAAGCTTCGAGGGATGCTCACTAGTATCAACATATTACAAATGACAACATTTCGGCAACACATCCATGCGGTAAACCGTCAGTGGCAAAACAAAACAAAACAAGGGAGATGTCTCAAACAAGGGTGCTACAAAAGTTTAGAGTCCTCTAGCACAAGGGACTTTCAAAACGAGATGTGCTGCGAAAGTTTAGAGTCCTCCAGCACAAGGGACTTTCAAAACGAGATGTATTGCAAAAGTTTAGAGTCCTCCAGCACAAGGGACTTTCAAACGAGATGTGTTGCGAAAGTTTAGAGTCCTCCAGCACAAGGGTGTAATAACCCTCACCACTGCTTACCGAATAAACATCGATTACCGTTAAACTGAACTGATTATGACTGATAATTGAACTGATTAAAATACTGAACTGACTGACTGGAATCTGGAATTAATTGTCTGACTGTATCTGTTTCAATGCATAACCTATTTGTTTGACTATTTGACTATCTGTTCATGATTTATGTTTAAATTGCGAATTGAAGGCCTTATCGGCGGCCGAACCGGGAATTGATTGACGTTATATGACCCTCATAATTAATGTGATTTTATGGTGTAATTATCTGAAAACTGATTAGGTATGATTAAATT